TGGGGAGAGAAAGGTGGGTGTGAAACTGACTCCTGCAGTTATACTCGGAAAAGATAGAGCCCCTCATTTGTAAAATTCATTTCACTTGTAATTTTTGGACGTGAATGATTGTATTGCAGGCTACTTCCGCATGCTACGTGGAAGCAACCACTGTAGAATCGAAGAATTCGTAGTAGCCGGACATGTCTGATTATGGTTATTGCTACATAGATGAATAAAATGTATGATGGAGTTTTGAAAAAGTACACATTTATTACAGGGGTTTGGAGGAAACAGAGCGGTTCTCTATTATATCGGATGAACAAGACATTTCATCGGAATCCCACACAAGAAATCTTTGTGAAAAGGTAGAAATTTCACGCACATGTATTCTTCCCGCTATCAGTCATTGTGAACAAATATGAATCCCTTCCACTATCGGAGTAGAACTGCAGGCGAAAATTGAAAAGGTTAAAGGCACAGTTCACGATGAAAATGGAAGTGAAATGAGCGTACCTTGAGTGAAAACACGCAGTCAAATTAAAATAAGAGAGAATGAACCCAACCAAGAAGTGTGTCAATGTTTATGTGTGTTTCGCTGGAAATCGATAGCTCCTGTTCTCTTGGACCAGAGATTTTCAATTTGGGAGAGTGCAGGCGGCGCGTTTACTTCAAAGGCACAGTTCACGGTAAAAATGGTATCTGAGATATCCCATAAGCCGAATTCAAGGTCCCCTTGTATACTATAGCTGGCGCTATAAGGTCGGAAAATTGCCTAGTTAGAGCGTTATGGAGGCTCAAAGCTTGCTCCGTGTGTATCCTCGGACGAATATCACCGGCACTATAAAGGCTGCGCCAATCATAAGGGAATCCATGTAGGAAGCTCAAGCAACTTATCATGACCAATAGCGACAGAGGAAGGCAGTGCTGTACAGTTTTGATGTGATGTAGTAAGCTCTTTGCACAATTGCAACAACTGAAAGCAAGGTGCCGATATCTCATCCATGTTATTTCCTGCGTGGTAATCTCGTCCAACCTCTATTTTCCTTACTTTTGAAGGGTCATATTTCTCTCGATATCGGCGAATTCTTTCTCTTTCTTCGCTACCTATGAAGTAATTCAAACCTATATTTCCGCTCCTCGAATAAAAAAGGGTATTCGCTCCGCGCATAAAAANAAAAAGGATACCTCGAATTATGTGAACTGTACCTTTAAACAATTTTGCATTGGAATTTTGATATACCGATGTGATCCTAACACTCAATACCCGCGCAATCTACCCAGTTAGAATAAAGTCTTTAACACCTCAAACTTAGACCATTGCTGTACAGAATAGTGTTTCGTGATATTGCCTCTTGTTTTAAATTGCTCAAAGGAGAACTCAAGCTATTGCTTGTTTATGGTGCTTTACTCGTATTTTAACTTCCTAATGACCAGATTTGCAATTGATTCCTTTCTTTATCTTATTTACAGAGCACCTTGTGTGCATGAATAAGTAAATAAACGAGTAAATAAACAAAATAAATAAATGAGTAAATGTCTCATTCAATATTGTAGGCGAACTTGTTGATGTAAATTCGAAGATACACAAGACGCTAACCAAAAATATGCCGGAAGCGGTCGGCTCGAAAGAACTTAGTTTACAAAAATGTGTCATTTTAGCTAATAAAAATTATGTCCCTCTGCTACTAGCTACTCCACAACCTATTCCGATAAATTTGAGTCCGAGGTAGGAGGTTTGAATTTGAGGCTTTTAAATTTTTTCTTTCATAAATTTACTATCATTTCCATTGCCAGTGGCAAGCCTGTCTCCATAACAGTAGAAAAGCAAAGAAAACCGAAAGAAAACGGGTGATTGGAAAGTCTAGTCACTTCGAAATTGCGGAGTAATGATCGGGACTTTCTTTTCCAGAGGTACATCGAAGTTGCACTCAGCATTTGCCTATCTCATGTAGCCTTCGCATCCGAAGCGGATGTGCTCGGTTGGTCTTCATTTCATGCCACTACTAGATACAGTGAAGAATACTTAGCGGTTGGTTATTCTATTTTTGCAGCTGCTATAAGGAATGAGAAAACTCCACGATCGGCGCAGGTGCTGAGTGGTGAGGAATTAGTCAAATATCTGAAAAAGAACCAGAACTTTTTCGTGGTAACGTCTTGGTACACAAAATCCAATACCGAAGTCCACTCAATGTCTGTTTGCAGGCTGAAATAACCCCACACAGCTACAATGTACAGCATAAGATAATGGATCTTAGATTTATCAATCAGAATAGGAAGCCTGTTGTTGAAGACGCGAGCGACAAAGGTGACGACATCACAGAAAGGTTGGTCATCACATTCGCAACCCGCCCACACTACCACTACTCACAAGGTCCTCAAATGCTGGACAAATACATCCACTAGGGGAAGCCGAGTGCTCAAAATCGCAAAAATGGAAAACGTGCCGTAGAATCCTCAGAAATTGGAGCGGAATAATGTCTCTGATTTGTCCGATGAATAGTTGGGGTAAGCATAGTTCTTTGAAGTTAAAGGCACAGCTCACAATAACATGGCTTCAAATTTTTCCAATAGGTTGACTCCAAAGCATACCGCGATTCGAAAAAGATCGCATCGAGTGTCCAAAAGCCTGCTTTGTCTACGTCCATACCTAAAGGCGGACGTATTCCTGTGGCGTTGTGAGGGCTGCATCATTTACAATGGAGCACACATGTTGGCTACTCAAACAACTGACCCATGACAACAGTGGGAGGCAATTTCTCTCATTTTGGTTTATTATAAGCAGCCTATGCGATAACACTAACTGATAGCCCTCTAAATATCCCTTCCATGCCACTTCTGCCGTCAATTCTCATACAACACCCTTTTTGCTTTTATTTTTTGAGGAATTATATTTATATTATTATATTGGAATCAGTTTTTGTTAAAATCCAACGATTTTTGCGCTCCTTTCACAACCTTTGCACCATTTTGCACCATGACTTGCATAATTTCGCTTGAAAAAGACGGTTCGTCATTATACTCAACTGTGCTTTCAAACGAAGCTTTTCAAAAAGTGAACGTGTGTCGGTCTTGCACAGCTCAGGAAACGTAAATACTCACATGAAAAAAAGGGAAATGGTGTGTAAAACAAGAGCCATGATCCTACATTTCAAATAACTTCCATAGCACGAAACGTCCTCTGCTTCATTTTTCATACATCTATGTCCTACAGGAGCTGCCCCAGAGGAGAATTAAAACATTTCAGGACTTCTCTGATGTATAATGCCCACATTGGAATAGTGTCTAAAAATTGACCATGTAAGCTAATCTGAAAAGTTGTTTTGCGCTTTGTACAGAAAGGATTTTGAATAAAAAANGTTCACCAGAGCAAAAGGAGAATTCCATAATAGAAACGACCGGGAAACTCGAAAGCGTAAGCAGCTGACGCATATCGTAGATTGAATTTTAGGCGAGGACTATTACGAGGTACCGAATTCGGTCAAAGCTATTCAGAGGGAAATCATGAGGAACGGAACTGTTGTCTCCTCATTCACTGTTTACGATGACTTCTCATACTACGTGAAAGGTAGCTATAAGGTAAGGGTTCTACAAAAACACAGCGCCCTCTCAAACTTACATATCAACACAATTTTACTAGTAGATTACCACATCGGTAGCCGAATAGATTTCTATATATTTCCTCGTATGCTTTTTTTGGTGAAAAAGACTAAACGACAGCAATATTCACTTGCAGCACACAGCAGGAAAAGCTCGAGGCGCTCATGCCATAAAGATAATCGGATGGGGCACTGAAAAAGACGTACCCTACTGGATTATTGCTAATCCGTGGCACAATGACTGGGGAGAGAAAGGTAAGTGTGAACTGACTTCTTGAAATGGACTTAGTGAAGCTGGAACTTGTATATGTATTACTCCCTTTCAAGTGTATTTCCTCATAACTGATTAACTTACAGGTTTCTTCCGCATGGTACGGGGAACCAACCACTGTGGAATTGAAGAAGAAGTAGTCGCCGGACATGTTCGAGGGTGATTGTTGTTACCTATCCATATAAAAAGTACAATAAATCTTGGAAGAAGTGTTCATTCATGAGAGCGCATTAGAGTTTGAGCGATGGCTATTAGCTAGAAGGGCAATTCCGATTGGTAAATGTTAAACGTCGACTAATTGATGGTTTAGCAATCACGTCACAGCTTCATGGGCCATTGTTTGATCATGCCATTTTGAAGATTCTGTAGTGTTGCCCAATGAATTGGATAAACCACGTACTTCATAAGAATTGTCATTCAAGGAGTAATTGTGAAACTACTTGGTGTCTGTTGACTGCTGTCATCACGATCAGGTGAATCAGTACGCAATCTGAAAGTCTCAGAGGATTGCCGAATTATGAGCGAACCTTCGGGCCCGGAGGGGTAGCATCCTACTTACTATAAAGCGCTTAATCTGTCTGTCTGTCTGTCTGTCTGTCTGTCGTCTGTCTGTCTGTCACGAAATTCGTTAACTCCTTTAGATCTGCCTGGAGAGACCGGGTCAAGCGTGGAATGGGTGGGCCATGCCCCGAGAAGTATAAAGCACACATCTGCTTGGCGAAGCCCCGCCCACAGTGGGCGTGGCGTGCATCGCAATGAGCTGGACTGAGGACCATGATTTCAAATTCAGTCACAAGACGGCCTCAAAATTGGGGTTTAAAGGTGGCTGGAGGTGTGCATTGGTAAGTTAGATCGAACTGGGGAGACCCACCCCCGATGGGCGGGGCGTTCTCCAGAGATGCAATGCTTTATGAAAACATAACTCGGTTTGGGTAAAGCTAACATAGCAGGAAAAAGGTGATATGGGAGGAGCATTGTAGAAGGTGTCTTCAGCATAAATGACGTCAGCGGAGGTCCGTCCACAATGGGCGGAGCGTGCCTCGAAGCTCACATCCCTTCTTACATTTATATACGAAAATCCATAATTCCAGTTCCATGGACCTAGAGAGTTCAAACCTGGTAGGAATACAGGCGCCATGGTTGCAAAACTTATGGTAGGTGGTAGAACCAGACTCCGCCCACAAGGGGGGGGGGGTTTGGGCGAAATTTCATTTCTGTGCCCTTGGGCGTAGAAAGATCAAACTTGGTAGGAGCACAGGTGACGGGATGGGAACACTTATGCTGGGTGGCAGGACCAGACTTCGCCCACAGGAGGCGGGATTTGAGCGGAAACTCATAAATCCGATAAAGGTCCATAATGAAAATCAGCTCATGCGGCTCCGTCTCTCATGGCTAGAGCCCCTAGCGCGCGCGAGAGCGTGCGTAGCCGCCTGGTTGTAAATACGAGAGCGAAGACCCTATCGTGTGAAAGTGGTAGAGACTTTTCTGTGATATATATTAGCCATTCGATTATTTTGAACGACATTCTGAGACTTCGCAAACTCGGCAGCACCGAAACTACTGGACAATTTTTTCTAAGGTACTGACTCTGTGAAAATTTCACATCATTAAACTCAAAGTAATATATTTTGCTCCTCATTCATCGCGGAGGTCAATCTCTTACCAATGGAAACAGAATTATTGCTAGTCTTAACTTGGGAACAAATGATGAGCTCAGCGCAGCTTTCAAAAGATGACCGATAACTCTTGAAAAAAGTTATGAACATGTGAAGGAAAAATATAGGAAGTGTCATTTCACGACTTTCAGTGTCAGTCCAAAATGGCGAGCAACAAAGAATTCAATATAAGTTGTTCAGCCCTTTATTATACACACCCCTCATAAATATGCGTCCCCTAAATGGCCCTAAAAATCGTAACTCTCACTGATTCTGGGGGGACCCCAGTTGAAAGCCGTGACAAGATTTGACTTCATTTTTTGAAAAGGTCGCATGTCTTTCCCGCAAAAGATACGTCCACCCTATGTTTCTTCGCAACCTCTCATTTCCGCTTGATATAACTGCTCTCTTAACGTAATGCTTTTCTTTTCCAGGTTATGGGTAAAGTAAATTCACTGTCGAAATTTGAAAAGGGTCAAATTTTTGGAAAGCAGAGGCAAGAAAAAGGTATATTCGACGAATCTAGCAGGATTTGGGCCGCTGCCACGATGTCGTCAACAGGATCCTCAGGAATCCTGATTTGTACGGGACCAAAAAACGTTCTTCTTCGAGTAGAATCGAATTCGACGAAGTTATGCGCAGAGAAAATCTTCCTTGAACTCGATATATTAACGGATACAAGTTATCGAGTGGGATCCAGATCCTAGCTTATCGTTCGCAGAAACAAATGAGGAAGGCTAACTTATAACGAGGAAACAGCAAGAAAACCGACTCGAATCCGCAAAAGAACACCTCCCATTTGAGTGGAGGAAAGTGGCTGTTCCTTCTTGAAACTTCTTTCTTCTTCTTCTTCTTCTTCTTCTTATTCTTTAGCGTTTGCCCCGCTTGTAGGCGGGGTCCGCTTTT